GAAAAGTTTTTGTATCATCTGTTTTTACTTTCGGAAAATAAACATTTTCTTCGTAAAGTTGAATAATCATCAAGATTATATTATATCCCACGAATATCACAGTTACGGCGACCACATCATCGATGTCGCAGTGTGATGTATTTGTAATATGAAATGTACACTTGTATGTGACCTGGTAGTGATTTTTCATGTGATGTCGCATTTCATGTCTGAACGACGTCACAGTGATGTTGCTTGAGTCGGACATTTTCACATCGCCACGTTGTATCGGTAACATGATTGTGATTTCAAATGCGATATCGCATGTCACAAAGTGATGTGGCGTATACATCACTTATACATCTCATGGTTGGCTGGGTAATAGAAATATTCGTGAAATTTCTAAATAATGCAAGAAGATTGGATTCATGCAATCAAACGGGAGGACTGGTCTGACATGCTGACGAAATAAGATCATGGGTGTTGTAGACATTTTTAATCTTTAGCAGTATTAGCTTCTATTGCAGAAGTGACAGAAGGCATCTTAATAAGAAATGACGAAATTTCATAATGGAAACTGTGAGATTACTATTTACCTGAAAAATCATATTCCTTCGTCTCTCGCTGCATTTCTTGTGCATTGAACAACAACACAATGCGAAGGCATGCTTGAATTAATGAATAGCGCAAAAAACACGATTTCTAATGCCAAAATATTAGAAAAAAACTATTTGAATCATTTTCATACAGAAAATAAAAAAAAAGTGAGGTAGTACTTTACTTCCAGGGTCGGTCATCGTGCACGACATATTCCGAATTCAACTGGTCAGCGGTCAGTAAATTCAAATTCACTGACTCTGCTGAAAATCTGTGTTCCGAAATAAGAGGTATTAAGTCACGACGAGCTTTCACTCTTTTTATATCGAGAATATGTCGGGAGAAATCCATGAAAATGTGCATGCTTATTTTTTAAAATACGCTCTCTTCATTTAGAATATTTTCGACAGTGCAGTGTTGCCGCTTCTACTAGATAGTAGTAGCAACATTGATATTTCAAATGGAACACCCAGATTTTTCAACTTTAGAATTTTTTTGTGTCGAAACTATTCATTATCGGTCAAAACGGCCAATCTCAACTTTTGATTCACTATTTACTAATATTTAGTTGGAACAGATACAGGGTGGTTCAAGATTCAGAATTCTGTCTGTCACTTTTTTTGATTTCGGAGTGAAAAATCAGCAGATTCAGTACTGTCAGTTGAATTCGGAATATAACCATAGGCAGGGTGGATCGTATTTCAATGACTGATACTCGAGTTCCCAGTTGGTCAGAACTGTAGATGGGTAAAAGCAGATAATGTTATTTCTCATGAATATTTCAGATTAGTCTTGAAATTGCATAGAAAGATTTCAACCACAGATTCTACGAACAAGATAGTGAAAAAAGTTCAAGAAACAGGGGTCCAGAAATGGGAAAATTCAGTACCCTGTTAAAGAAAAAGCACTATTTTTATCACCCAGCAGAATTTTGAAATCGATTTATCTCGAAAAAAGTTGATGGTATCGTCGGAAGCAAAGAGTACCAGTTTTATTTAAAAATCGTTAGATTTACATATTTGCTTGTCAAACTGCCGAAAATTCCATAGACAGAAGAGTTGGGTGAAACAGTATACCCCTAGCCCCACCTATTTTCCACGCCCCTGGTCGAACTTGCGTAAAATTCCTAACAGTCTCAAATCGAGCATAAAAAATTAGGTAGATGTATCCATTTTGGTTTCGAAAATATTCATATAAAACCATCATGTCGAGCTCCCCTTTAGATGGTTATAACCTTCCAGGGGGCCATTTCTAGACCCCTGTTTATATACACTTTTCTCACTATTTTTGTTCCTAGAATCCATGGTTGGAATCTTTGTATGTAATTTCTGAACACCCTGTAAAGCAATAACGAACCATTTTGGAGCATATTATGTGAAAAAGATAACATTATTTCTTCTAGTTTCATGGATTTCTCGAGTATTAGTAATTGAAGTTTCATCACCCTGTATATAGTGTCTTTCATTTTCAACAACACCACCGATGTATTTTCTTACTCGTGGACCGATTTATAGTATTTTGTACCATTTCAGATGTAGATATCTGAAACATGATCCTGCAATTAGATTGCTTTTGAAATTACTTGAGAATACGAATTAGAAAATGAAAGGATGGTGTTGCTCAAAGAAAATATTATGTTTCAACACTGTATGATGTTATGGTAATATGGATAAATATGTATAACGTTCCAACACTGTACAATATTGTGAAAAATTCAAGAAACAAAGGTATAGTTTGCTTTTAGAATATAAGTACCTAACCTTTAGGTTAGGATCAAGAAACCTGAAACATTTAAAATTTTGATTAAAATCAGTAGAACCTGAAAAAAAAAATGGGTTAGTTGGTTTTGGGTAGATAAACTTCGTTTATATTATTGAAATGTCCCGAAATCTGAAACAGAAAATATTTGCATGATTCGTTAGTCTTTCTTGTAAATGTACTAAAAAACGTATTGGAAGCTTCTTCCACCATTGTACTGCTATAGAAGCTTTTGATATCTCTTCTGGTCGGATTATAAGTGTCATTTTTTATGTGTTATCTCACGTTATTAGTGTCTTTTTTCTATGTGTTTTCTCATGGCCTCGGACATTTTCTAAATATCGGATCTTCAACCTGAAAAAATTATCCTACTCAGTATTTTCAATTTTCATCCCACCAAAGTTTCTTAATCTTGAAATATTCTGAAGTCTAATGGATTGTCCTTGGTTTCTAAACATGAACTTAGTAATTCGTGTTTTTTTCATCTCTTGGAGCGCACAAAAAGAAATTCCTATAATATTCGAAGAACTTTTTCATCGTTTATCCATTGATTTTTTCTGACTATCTATACAGGGTGTCCTAGAAAATGTTGTAAATCTCCCGGATAGGGCACATCAAAATTATTAGGGGTTTCCGAATAATTTCTATTTTTTTTTTTGAAAATCAGTCCTATGCTGAGATATTCACCCTCTAATAAGGTGGCTGAATTGATTAGGAGATTTTTTTTTCTGTCTGTCAAACAAAGTGGGACTAAGATGTATGTATTTTATTGCTTTCTTGTATGCAGTTTTTTCATCAACTCAGTTCTATTTTAGAGAATTTTTGACCTTTTCACATAATCGATTATAAATCAGATTTGATATTTTGATGACGAATATTTTTTTACTGTTTAAATTGCTTAAAATTTTGATTTTCTTCTTGCTTCACATATTACATGCCCAAATTGCAGGTTGCCAAACCCCACCATGCCCAAATGATCACTGAGACTGCCGAATAGTGCAGCGTTGCCACAATTTCAAAATTTTACGGCAAACATAGATTTTCACGATACCCAAATCCCACAATCTTCCATTCCCACCAAGCCCAAACGCTTACGAATTTTTTCGAAAAATATGGATTTACACTTCAAAATCAGCTTACGTCCAAACGATCCCCCAGCGAAACACTTATTCATAATATTGCGCATCACAAATCAATCATCCACAGAAATTTAATCACCCTTTATTGTATGAAAAGCAAAAATCTGGTCAAATTTATAAACGAAGAGTTTTTTCCACACACTGTCAATAAATTTCCATGTTTTTTTTTTTTAATAATGCTGCTACTTTCGGGAAAAAAATATTGTACAGAAATAGTTATTCCTGAGACATCTGGTCTACTTCCTTATCTTTGGGGGTAAATATGTTGGTAAGTGGTCGATTTTCATGAAAATACTACCTATATAAAAAATATGTTTTGGGACGCCTCATTTTCATATTTCTGGTTGAGGAAATTGACTATCATTCAATTTTCGCATTCGGACAAATTCTTCTCAAATCCACTTCATGCTTATTCCAATTGTCATTGTAATACTCACCCTCATCCCTATTTCAAAGACACTACACACTACACCGTATAAATAATTTGGACTTCATTATATCCTAACCAACCCTTGCCTGGTGACTTTACATTATTATCTGAGCAGCGTTTCAGGGGTTGCGTGAAAAATCAATACTGGGTGTGTTTAGTTCTTCCCGCGCAGGTTTTCCACAATGACAATTTATGTCATGCGTTATTCATCTACAGTGTGTTACAATTTGCTCCACCCCACTCCTGTACTTGTGTATTTTTAGGATTTTTTTCTCTTATGATATACTACTCAAAATTATCTCATTTGTACAGCAAAAAAATTATCATATACAATGTGTTGGCCTACTGCGATCGCAAAAACTTCAGCAAAATTCAAGAAAACGGATGAGGCATTTTTTCACAAAAACTTTGATGGTGACAATCGAGTCGGACTAGTCACAAATACCTCCATATCAATTTTCAAAATAATATCTCATAAGGGGTGTCTTTATCAACGTAACAATGGGCTTATATCACAAAAAAAATTGTATTTCATAATTCGATAGAACTCACCCAAACTAGCTCACCACCGCAAACCGTTTCTTGCTGTGAGCTCCCTACGTTTTATAAAAAATTATTGAAATCCCCGATTTTTTGGACCTCTGAAAACGAGGCGATGATGTGACGTCAAAACCCTGATACTGAAACAAGACTACTCGAGACAGAGATGAATGATACATGATTTCTGACAGAGTGAATTAGCGCGAGATCACAGTTGAAAGAATTAATATATCAGTTGCCTCAGTCTCCGTCGGGCGTTTGGTATTTTCTTTTAACTATGGCGAGATGAGGTTTATACGTCATAAGAGGGTCTGTTTTCAGAAGGTACTATTATTTATGTCCAAAAATAAAACATTCCAGTTAATTTTTGGATCGAATTATGTCGTCATTCATTATTTATGTATAAAAGGATCATTATAAACATAGTTTGAGTTAAAAGTTCTACTATAGTGTACACGCCCATTTGCACTTTTCGAAACGTCATACTTTACATAACCAGTTGCGTAAAATAAAATATTACACAACTGGTGATGAAATGTCAAAACTGGGTTAATAATCAACAATCGAAAATAAAGAAACACTGATTTTTCAGTAGGAAATATAATAATCAGGACAGTTTGTGTTCTTGTGTTGAAACTATATGGTTGTAACAATAATTATGTATGAGTTGCAATGCGGAATCCTGAAACCAATAGTCCCATAACGAATAGCAAATTATTGATGATGTGGGAAATGGAGGACCCTGAAAAAGTTGTTATGATGAATGCGTTTTTGAGTACAATTAATAAATATTTACCGGAACAAGCGCCTGTATTTTTTCCGAGTTTCGAACACAGTGTTTTCTGGAAGTCTTTCTCGGATGAATCGCTTTCTGTTTTACTGAATTTTTCATTGTAAACGATTGTTGGAACATTTCCCAACGGTCTTTGGAATCTATCCGTCAATATGCCAAGATAAGCCAGATATTGTTCACCTGAAATACATGGTGATTTTGAAATAACTACAATATATTGAATTATGAATTCATCAATGTATGATACAGTCTGAGGAATATTTCCAAAATATTCGATTTTTCATATGTTCTCTAATCATGCTGAAAATTGAACAAAATATGAAAAAAAATGTATGTACAGAGATGAGGTCAAATTGCTGTAGAACATTGGCGGAAATGAGATCTTGCCCCAAATGTTTTTATCAATCAATTCCAATCGATTCTATAGATAATGGTAATTAGATAACCATTTTTCAAAAAATACTTAAGACAAAATATTTTCTCAGAACAAGATATACCGGGTGACACAGGAGACATGTAGCAGCCTGTAGTTTTTTTGTTTGAAGAGATAAAATTTTGAAATTCACAGGGGGTATATAATAAATGGTAGCACACTTTACGAACTCAACGACAATTTTTTTCAACCACCTGTTTGACCGGAAGTGACCCCAACTTTTTTTTTTAAATGTCACCCTGTACATTTCTTCAGTCTATCTTTTTCGCCTTGAAATTCTCTATCCAACCATGTATCACAAAGTGGCATTCATTCCTTAATTCGCTGTTGAATTGCTTTTTATTCAAAAAGAATAAGTTGGCTGTGACATGAATTCGATTATATATCAACACCTAGTAGGCTTTGAAATTTAAAGATCATTAGTAAACCGATATTATTCAAAATGTTTTGATATTCTGATCAATGTCTGCAGGTTGTTAATAGCTTGTTTGAGTCAAGATGAAAACCTTCGAAAATAACTCATGATATTGAGGAATCTAAGATAGGAACATATTTTTTCGAATTCAGCTACTCGTACAGAAACTATCTGTCTTTTATTTTCGCCATGTACATATCACATGATCTTCCCATTTGGAATAATAAAACTAAAATTGTTCCTCTTATACGATGATTCACAGGGGTATCAGTCTATTTTTTCATAATTATTTCACTTAGTAGGCGGTGTACCTACACAAAATGTTTTATGTATTTGACAGTTAAACGATTGTATCAATAGTTTTTCTTTTCATTTGTGTGTTGATTAAAATTGCATATTATCAATAGAGACGGAAAATGTATTCGAGAAACGAAAAAGTCGATATGTTGTTAATATGCAATTTTAATCAACACACAAATGAAGAAGATAAATTATTGATGCAATCGATTAACTGTCAAACACATAAAACATTTTGTGTAGGTACACCGCCTACTAAGTGAAATTATTATGAAAAAATAGACTGATAGCCCTGTGGATCATCGTATAAGAGGAACAATATTTTAGTTTAATTATTCCAAATGGGAAGATCATGTGATAGGTACATGGCGAAAATAAAAGACAGATAGTTTCTGTACGAGTAGCTGAATTCGAAAAAATATGTTTTCATCTTGACTCAAACAAGCTATTGACAACCTGCAGACATTGATCAGAATATCAAAACATTTTGAATAATATCGGTTTACTAATGATATTCAAATTCCAAAGCCTACCAAGTGTCGATATATCATCGAATTCATGTCACAGCCAACTTATTCTTTTTGAATAAGAAGCAATTCAACAGCGAATCAAGAAATGAATGCCACTTTGTGATACATGGTTGGATAGAGAATTTCAAGGCGAAAAAGATAGACTGAAGAAATGTACAGGGTGACATTTAAAAAAAAAGTTGGGGTCACTTCCGGTCAAACAGGTGGTTGAAAAAAATTGTCGTTAAGTTCATAAAGTGCGCTACCATTTATTATATACCCCCTGTGAATTTCAAAATTGTATCTCTTCAAATAAAAAAACTACAGGCTGCTACATGTCTCCTGTGTCACCCGGTATAATTATTTGATATCATTATATAACAGATATAATTCAAGATTATGTGGTATTCGCCAAGAACGTAGTTGTTTTCTGTAAGATATTCATTAAAATCTTCAAAAATATTTCTTATATTAGGTATCTTCAATATTTGACAGATATAATTCAAGATTCTGTGGTATTAGCCAAGAAAGTATCAAGTTATTATCTGTTAGACATTTCATCAATGACTTTCTTATATCTAAAAATAAAGAAATTCTCTAGATCTTTGGTATGCTCTTTCCTCGTCACTATAAATAGAAATATAGTATTATTTTGATATTAGTAAGGACAAATTATCAGATGATTTGACCCAAAATTTCACTATTGAAAACCTGAGAGCGAAATGCAATCGATATTCAGTGACACTTTTGAAATATAAAGTGTCATTCACATACTATTTTTGGTTTGAACGTTCCGGAATCGAATCTGCTTGTTTTCAGCAAAATAAGAAGATCCATCTCAAGAATTATCTTCTATTTTCATATTGAAATAATACTAGTATTTTTCTGTATACGAAATTAGTCTTTGTATCTTTCTACTCACCAAATGGCATACTGGCACAACTTTTCAAAAGTGGAGCCGTTTCGGCATCAATACAAGAACCAACAGAAGTGTCTACTTCTTCTCTTGTCGACTGTGGTGTTAGATCGTTCATGAGGCAAGCTATGAAGTCTATGGTGTCTTTATTGTAGCCCAAATTTTCGGTATTTTTTCCAGAATTTATGATTGTTAAGGCGCATGCTTGGATTTTGTTGCCGTAGCATTCTACGGCCTTATGATGACATTCGAATGTGAAAGTGCCATTACTATGTTCCGTGGTCTGTAAATATATTATTATTTTGAATAGATTTTCGTGCGGCATTTCTGCAGACTGATTCACCCAAGTTTTAGAATAGAAAAACGGATTTTTTAAACTTCTTTTTGAAGTTGAGATGATTATTCGTACTAAAATCTCCAGATATCTTCAATCACCTTGAAAAATATTTTTTTCTACAAACGTCAAAAAATGACAAGGTTCGCGCATTGATAACAAACTGCGAAGTGACACTTTTTTTCAGTTTCCTACGTTACCATGATACCTTGCACATAACAATGCGCGAAGTAAAACAGTGCGCGAAGTACCTACTTCGCGCATTGTAATGTAAAATTAATGAGATATTTATATTTCAACTATATGGTCCTCAATCGAGCAAACATCCATGAAATCATTTATTTCTGAATGTTCAACAATAACTTTGTTTTATCTTTTGAGCGCACGAAAGGAAATTCGTATTATGTTCGTGGAACATCGTGCGTACCTAGGGAGGATAGGGGGAGGCCTTTAAAGCCAGTTCAACACTATTTTTTATATCTAGCTAAGCATATTTTTACTCTAGAACTATATTTTTTGACGTTTGTAGAAAAAATTTTGTTTACAACTCGAGCGCGAAATACTTTGGTCATCTCGACTATTTTTTTAACTCGGCTACGCCTCGTTAAAAAAATCAGATCTCGATCACCAAAGTAGCATTTCGCGCTCTAGATACAAAAATAACTATTTATTTTGCTACTTATTGATGCAACGCCGCCAGCGTTTTTTTATAATCGGGTTCTGGAGACCTACGGAGCCTTTGTTTCGTTTTCAATGGACCACGACCACTCTGTATAATTCTTAACAGTTTTATATTTAACTAGTAGACCTCGCAAACGTTGTTTTGCTATACCTATACATTATTTCTATAATATATATTTTCAGTTCAATATTCATCAGGACACTATTGTTATTTTATTATCTACTTCTTTTTAGTTTCGCTATCTATAAAAGAGTGTTTCTTTAGTTTTTCAAACTACCATTTATTTCAATTTCTTTTTAGTTTACTTGAATTTCTCAATTTTGACGAGAAAATCATAATATCCGGCTCCTAACAACCCAGATGAAAATTTTGAATAGAATCGAAACATAATTACAAAACTCAACCGCAATATTGGATCTAGCATCTTGAATTCCCTAATTTTGACGAAGAAATCATAAATTTTGATCCCGAAAACGCCCACTTACAAATTTTGAATAGAATCGGTATATATATTACAAAACTCGACCGGTATATTGGTTCCACCGTCTTGAATTTCCAAATCCCGCCCTTGCCAAAATTTTGACAAAAGAATCATAATCTCCGACCCCGAAAACACTCAGATATATAACGATTTTGAAGTGAGTCGGATCATAATTACAATACTCGTCCGCCATATTGGGTCCGCCATCTTGAATTTCCTAATGTTGACGAGAGAATCATAATCTCCGACCCCGAGAACCACCAGATACCAAATTTGAATAAAATCGGATCCAAATTACAAAATCTGCCATTTTGGATACGCCATCTTGAATTTCTCAATTTGGACGAAGGAATCATAATTACCGATCACGAAAACCCCTAGGTACCAATTTTGAAAAGAATCAGATTATAATTACAAAACTCGTCCGCCATATATATATATAGGTTCCGCCATCTTGAATTTCAAATACCACCCGAATTCTCAAATTCTGACGAAAGAATCATAATCTCCGACCCCGGAAACACCTAGATACCAATTTTAAATAGAATCGGACCATAATTACAAAATTCGTCCGACATATTAGATCCGCCATCTTGAATTTCCTAATGGTACTGGAATAAAAAGTATGTTTCCTCTCCACCAATTTTCTTCCAAATCGATCCAGTAGTTTCGAGGCCTATTCAATACAAACAATCAAAGCTTTCCTCTATATTAATATAGATACACTCTTAGTTCAAGAGCCTGACATAACCCATTAATTAGTTGTTTTTTTTATTGTTATATTATACTATTATAAACAAAGATGTTTCTTGGGGTAATAAAGGAACAACAAGAACATCCCATTATCAGATGAAGGTCAAAATTTTGCAGCCGGCTCTCTAAGGTTTTCGATATCAACGTTTGAAAAGTGACATTTTGTTCATTTCAAACCCAACTCAAAAACTCGAATGTTCTTTCAATCGAAATAAAGTTGTTGCGGTAGCACCGTGTTTTTTCCACGCAAACAAACAAAAATATTCAATATTCAGCGGGTACTTACTACTGCTTTTCCGTAAGGAATCATATTAAGATTGATGTAATTTGATAAATTTCCTTCAAGCACTGGATGCAACTGTTTCACAATGAATTCCTTCGCAAATGGACATAGTGTCTCATAATATACAGTGACGTTCACCTAAAAAATTGATAATTGATACACCATACAGATTACAGATTATTTTCAGTCAGAAAATAAGTGCAATGATATCGCCCTATTTGTATCGATGTGAGCTTACCCTTTTAATTTGCGCACTGGCAGTGGAAAGTAAAATCTGCGCTAGGAAAAAGTATACGAAATTAAATGGTATCATTTTCCCGTTTCTTTTTTATACACACTCCTATATCAGATAGGTACGACTGGTATGAGATGAGTCAGTAGTACTCTATTTAAGAAGGTTATTCTGATGAAGATAATTTTGTGGTTTGTCGTGGTTTTCCTTCCAGGTTATAAATACATGAATATATGAGATAAAATATGTGGAATTTGGTATAAAGAAATGATTTTTTTAGCTGAACATTTCTGTACTATTCTGGGTATCTCTTATGTAAGGCGATTTTTTTTTTTGAAAAAGTGAAGTGAGAGATAGAGCTTCAAGAAATTTTTATCAGGGACTATTCAGTCCCAAGTAGTTAGTTGGGAAGCTACAGGGCGTTGAACTGTATCAGAGCAATTGTTATTTTACGATATCAGGATTCTGTTCAAATCATATATTTCTCTTTCCACTACTATTGATTACCAATAATCATAATAATTGCAAAAACGTACACTTAGTGATGGACATGATTTTTTTCTTATGAATTCTGAGAAAGCAACTCAAATTATACAGGGTGTTTCACAGATGAAGGGAAATATTTCAATGGTACATAGGGGTCACCAAGGTGGTTCTGAAAATACCATATTTGATAGGTCTTAGAGTCTTCATAACGGAGATACAGGGCGATTCATCGATTTCGAATAATTATTCATTCGTCTATAAGTATTGACCTACCCAGTATATTTTTCTAAAATTTGGTATGGAGCTTATACTTGGGACGTTGAATTCATTCACCTATCGGGCGAAGTGAAAATCTATAGGTTCAGCTTCAGGAAAATTTACATTTATTCTAAATATTGAAATAACACCACTGTATGTGATAATTGTCAGAGTTCATCAAAGGAATCGTAAAGAGGAGGAAAAACTGAACTGGATTTGATGGTTTTTGTTTTCCCGCCACCAATTCTCATCGGAACAATATATCATAAACAGAAAGCTAAATGTGTTTCAATTTGAAGAGTATCAAAATTATGAAACCACTTTCAATTATGATTATTTGATATATTCTTGTCAAATGATCGTTCGAAAGAACTTACTAAGTGTCACAGTCTTTATAACAGAAATACAGGGTGAATTATCGAATTATTATTATTTGGTATTATTTCCATTTCGCCTGATAGGTTAATGAATCCATCATCCCTAGTAAGATGCCTGTCAATTTATAAACATCTCAGACCCAAGTAAGCTACATACCAAATTTGAGAAGATGTTACTGGGTAGTTTAATACTTATGGACGAGTGAATGATTATTCAAATCCGATAATTCACCCTGTATCTCCGTTATAAAGACTTTGAGACTTGGTAAGTTTTTTCGACCGATTTTTTGACTGAAATATATCGAATAATCATAATTGACACTGGTTTCATAATTTCAATACTCTTCAAATTGACATACTTTCAACTATCTGTTATGATTGTTACGATGAGAATTGGTGGCGGGAAAACGAAAAGCATCAAACCCAATTCAGTTTTTCCTCCTCTTCACAATTCTTTTGATGTACTGTGTTAATTATTAAATACAGTGTGTTATTTTAATATTTCGAATAAATGTAAATTTTCCTGAAGCCGAACCTGGATTTTCACTCCAGCCGATAGGTGAATGGATTCAACGTCCCAAGTATAAGCTCCTTACCAAATTCGAGAGAAATATACTGGGTCGGTCAATACATATAGACGAATGAATAATTATTCGAAATCGATAAATCGCCCTGTATCTCCGTTATAAAGACTCTGAGACCTATCAAATATGGTATTTTCAGAACCACCTTTGTGACCCCTATCTACAATTGAAATATTTCCCTTTACCTGTGAAACACCCTGTATAAAAATTCATGAAAAAAAAATGCATAAAATAAAATTGTATCATATGAACCATTTAACGACGTCACTATATGAATTTTTTCAATTATAGTTATAAGTCCAAAATCCAAAATATGTTGAAAAAGCAATGTTGCCCTGATACATTTCAACGCCCTGTAGCTTCCCAATATTCGATATTTTTTTGAGGTCTTGCACATAGATCTATTCAGTAAAGGAAAAAGAAGAGTGGGGTAAATGTACCAAAAAATATTCCATTCGATCCCTAGTTATTTTTGACTATATTCCTCATTCAATAATTTGAAGAGAGCACCTACATATATTTATTAAAAATAAAACAAAGAGTTTAAAATGTTATTTTAATAAAAATAACAATTTCAGACACCAACATCAGATCTTTTTAAAATTGTATATCTAATCTCATTTTTCATAATATACTAGGTAGGTATATATAATATTGCTATAACTAGGCTACAAAATAACAATTTTGGCTTCATAGCAATATACAAAATAGTGTAAAATTTTAAGTAGCTGTCTCAAAGTACTTTTTTAAGGCGGAATGATAAATATCTCACATCAAAGGGATTATACAGTGCGTATCCCAAGTCTCCTCACGACACAAAATAACCAAGACACAAAAATACTGGAAGGTGTCACTCAGTGCCTTCTGCGAATTGAATTTAGAAGTTTGAAAATTGGCAGCAAGAAGACGCTCTCACGCTACATATAGGGAATGAAGTATAGACTCAGAAGTTATTCAACACATGAAAACTCGGTTTTTTTTTTTCTATTGATTGACTATACCAGCCAAATTGAACTTTTTGTCCTCGAAAATAAAACAAAAATTTGGGTTCTTTCAGGATGAGTAAAACAAAAATTCATGAAATAGTCAGCCTAAAGTAGTTATTTTTTTTTCGGATTTTAACCTAACTATCAAACTTGAATTGATTTTTGTTTCATTGCTTGGAGCGCATGAAAGGGAATCCCTATGTTCGGAGAAAATCGTGCATACCTAGGGAGGATAGGGAGATTATAATTTTATCGCGTTTTTTTTTATTGAAATATCGAAAGGTGTTTCGAAAATATTGGGTGAAAGTCATCTTCTCATTTTTGAACACCCTGCACTTAGGGAACTTTTTGTCTCAAATTATCCAAAATATATCACCCTCGAGTATTGGCATCGAACTAATGAATACCCTGTATATTTTGTTTAAACCCTTATTTCAAAAACTATGTTTTTTGAGTACAAAATACAATCAATCAATCAAATTGGAAGTTTCAATATTTCATAAATGAAACATTTTGAATGACATCAGACAATATTGCTCGAATTACTTATTGGCAAATTCCTTTCGTTCGGAAGAGAAATTTATCCGATGAAAACAAGCTCTTGTGTTTTTACTGTTGACTATTCCACTCTTCCTCTCGAGAACCAATCAGAATCGACCATTTTCACGGATTCTGCTGTATTCCAGCGATATTTTTTGTTTACTAAAATTTATCAGACTTGCTCTACCAATACAGAAGCCGAATTGACCCGCAACGTGACCAACCTACATCGTTTCTCAGCGATAAATCAACTCCTACACGGAAAACGCTATTTGACGACAACGTGAGTCATTTTGACATCGATAAAAAAAGAATGCACCTTTTTATCGCTCCTTTTTCCATTTTCTGTCGTGTCAAGTTTGATTGATGGGTATGGTTCACGCGTAAATTAGCAAGATGAGCCGTTTTAGGAAAATTTCGTCTGAAAAAACCATGAAAATATGAGAAAATCAATTCCACAAACTACCAGTTATACGGAATCATTGAAGGTAATCATTATTGTTGTTTATTTGTATATTGTCGTTGATTTATCTTGCCAGAAAACACTCAAACATTCTCCATCAGTTATTTCTCTCGAAAAACTGACCTTAGACAAAATTGCTTGACCTACGGTCGCAATTTTTTATGTGAGTTTTTCTCGTAAAATTACTGATCGGCAAATGTTTTTCGTTACCAAGAGAAATTTATCCGATGGAAAAAAAGCTCCTGTGTTTTTACTGTTGCGATGTTCATGAAATTTTCGACGTTTATAACGTCAATTATGTTGGCAGCCAGAATGATGGATGCAGTGTGCGTAACTCTCGCGAGGCGCTCGTTTATTGTCTCAATCATGAAATATTCAAACGAATACAACTCGATGATATTTTTCCTAGAAATATTCGTCGATTGACATACTCCAGCTCGTTTTGATAAACAAAGTCATTCGCGAAATTATTAACAATCAGCCGAATGTTTCCGGGAATACACTACTTTTTGCTTGTCCTCCCAACGGGTTTTCATGTGTGGAATAAGTCTTGTACTATACTTGGTGAATGGACATGGACGTGGAAGAAGAATGACGAAACTTTGACGACTTTAAAGAAAAATGGCCCCTTCCTAGCAGAATCTCAGCACCGCAGCCAAAAGCAACAGTCCCAATCCAACTTGGGGACTGTAAGCTCCGTTCCTAGTGCACTCTGCCGGCTGGTCTCCGTGGATGTATTGACACAGGGCGTTCACAAAGTTCGTCTGCGCCATGTCGGTATCGGCCTGCTTGAATTGGTTGTTGAACACGATGGTAGGGACGGATTTTAGGGGGTTTTGGACGGCGTCTGTCATGCTTCCGAACATCGCCAAGTAGTTGGAGGCTGGAATAATTAAGATTTTTCATGGAAATATACAAAATCATGGATACATTATTTGTTAGTCCATAGAGTTTCAGGAACCATTAAGAAATCATTAAATCCTATACAGTCCAGGATACTTATGGAAAAACCAATGAAATCGAAGAACACCGCGAGGAATTATTAAGAAATCATGTAAATTCTACCAAATTATTTGGTTGTCTGTGGAAGTCATCAAATATCATTGGTAGTCCAACTGAAATATTTGGATAGTCTCAGATGTGGTCGAGGAAAATCATTTGGTAGTCTCACACGTAAAAATCATCTGTTAGTCTCACACGTAAAAATCATTTGGCAGTCTACAGAATCATGGATAAATTATTTGATTGTCCAAGTATGGGAAATCATCAGCCGGAATCATTGATAAATTAGATAAATCATATCAAATCATCTGGTAGTCCAAGGAAATTATGGTAAATCATTTTGAAGTTCAACTAAAACCATTGGATAGTTTCATAAATTTGAGGGAGGAAAATAATAAAGATAAGGAAAATGATTTGGTAGTCTCTATGAAATCATGAAGAAATTATTTGGTTGTTGAGGTATGAGAAATCATTGGTTGTCCAATGAAATCATAGAACAGCCTCAGGAATTATTAAGAAATCATGAAAATCCTATTTAATCATTTGCCAGTCCAAGGACGTTATTGAAAATCATTGGTAGTCTAAGGAATCATGGATAAATTTGCTGTCTGATCTCTGTGGATGTTTTGACACAGGTCATCTGCGCCATATCGGTGTCGACCTGCTTGAATTGGTTGTTGAATACGATAGTAGGGACAGATTTCAGAGGGTTTTGGACGGCGTCTGTCATGCTTCCACAAAAATCAAAGACAGAAAGATATATGGATGTACTCTTCCCAGGACTTGTGGAGGAAGGAAGATGCGAGGATCCTTTATCTAAGCGAAAAACATATTCTTGTCCTTGTCTGGCAAAACATATGATTTGCTTCAAAATCGTTTGTGGTTATGTTTGATTGTAACTGCTTGTCTAGTGTCCGTACGTATATGGTGTCCGTACTCTAATATAAAAAAAAAAGGCCAAAACACCAATGTCAAGCATGTTCAGGAACTCTACTGACGACCAGATCTGTCGGAGTCGTTGCCGATATTAATATTATTATCTTACCATCGGTGTGATTGGCGCAGTTGTCGATCTCGTTCAAGTTGCTGACGTGGTTGTAGAGGGCGCAGTCCTTGGTGGGGAAGATGACCTGACCGTTCTTGTCCGCCTTGTCCATGAGGCAGTTGATGAAGCCGAGCGACACCTTGTTGAAGCCGAAGTCGGGCGTATTATTTCCGCCGTCGATCAATTTCAATGCGCACGCCTGGATCTTGTTGCCGTAGCACTCGTTCACGCCGTGATGGCACTCGAATTGGTACTGGTTCACGTCGAAAGTCGACTGAAAATGAACGTATTTTTTTTTAGTGACTCAAAGGAGTTGTTTTGTGACTAGCTCATTCAACGGTGGCTAGGTCGTGGGTCAGGAAATATAGTACAATGAAAATATATATTCTTTGCAAATTACTGAACGCCAGGGGCGCCACCTAGTTTGTTTTGATTTTAACTAGGAAAAACACTTTGCTAAATTCCAGAAGTTTCACATTTATTTTCATAGGTAAATCTCAAAGTGAATCAGGGTCTACTGTGCACCTAGAATAACGTTATTCACGGCAAAAATAATAATCTTTCACATAAATACAACTTCATAGGCTGGATCTTGTTGCCGTAGCACTCGTTCGCGCCGTGATGGCACTCGAATAATTGGTACTGGTTCACGTCGAAGGTCGACTGAAAATGGACGATCGCTGTGTTACTCATTCAACTCTTGGATGATTTTTTGAAATCTATATACAGGATGATAGTTGTGGTCACAAAAACCATGGGAGATTTCCCTCAACAAAATATGAAATAAAGTTCATATGAATACGGGTCCGAAAATGATTCGTTTCCGAGTCCAAGTTAACAAAAATAGTTATTTATAAACAAGGGAAGATTTTAGCTCCAGGTCCGTGAGCTAATCTAATATTCTTCCCGAGTATAATACACAATTTTTTCTGTGACAGAAGAAAGGACGAATCAATATTGAGAAGATATTGCATTATTTTGAAATCTGAAAATTATAGACGTGAAATTTTAAGTTTTCAACAGTAGGGACATCTGCGTTGTAGGCATCTTTATCATAGAACTTACAATAATGAAAATTCGTATCTAAGTATTCGATGTGTTTCTCCATAGAATGGCTACTTTCCACGGTGATATCACCTCCTTTGAATCTGATACAAGGTGATTTGAAAAAGCAAAAATATAAAAATATGCCATTAAATAATTAACACGTTATAAAAGGAATTGCAATAAAATGTTGAATGGGGGTATTTCAGCTACATTTCCGACTATATTATGGAATATTCTTCTTTTTGAAAAAAATCGGTCAGCGGGATTCGAATTAGGAGGCTTTTGCGAGCTGATTATAGTCTCATTCGATTCAGCGTGTCATTTTCTATTGGAAGAGCGATAATTCGCGTGGATTTACGCCGTTTTCTGGCACTTTCGGCCGTCCGAAGGTGGCTCGGTGACTATATCGTACTGAAGTCTTAGGTGGGAAAATGAAAATTTTTATTTGGCCTATTAAAAATCTGAAAAAATTCACATAGACTAATTCGATGTCGAAATGAAAAAATCTGTTGTGGAAATTGGGAAATTTTGGAAAATGGAGACGTAGTAGCCTACAGGAGTGCTCCTATTGGCAATAAAAGCGAATAGCTGACTTTGAGGGCCGATATCTCGAAAATTATCTATTCTATGGAGCTGATTATAGTCTCATTCGATTCAGCGTGTCATTTTCTATTGGAAGAGCGATAATTCGCGTGGATTTTCGCCGTTTTCTGGCACTTTCGGCCGTCCGAAGATGGCTCGGTGACTATATCGTAGGTACTGAAGTCAGGTGGGAAAATGAAAATTTTCATTTGGCCTATTAAGAATCTGAAAAAATTCACATAGACTAATTCAATGTCGAAATGAACGAATCTGTGGTGGAAATCGTGAAATCTTGGAAAATGGAGACGTAGTAGCCTACCGTAGTGTTCCTATTGGCAATAAAAGCGAATAGCTGACTTTGAGCGCCGATATCTCGAAAACTATCTGTCCCATGGAGTTGATTATGTTCTCATTCGATTCAGCGTGTCATTTTCTATTGGAAAAGTGATAATTCGCGTGGATTTTTGCCGTTTTCTGGCACTTTCGGCCGTCCGAAGATGGCTCGGTTACTATATCGTACTGAAGTCAGGTGGGAAAATGAAAATTTTTATTTGGCCTATTAAAAATCTGAAGAAATTTACAAAGACTAATTCGATGTCGAAATGAACGAATCTGTGGTGAAAATTGGGAAATTTTGGAAAATTGGGACGTAGTAGCCGACCGGAGTGCTCCTATTGGCAATAAAGGCGAATAGCTGACTTTGAGCGCCGATATCTCGAAAACTATCTGTCCTATGGAGCTGATTATAGTCTCATTCGATTCAGCGTGTCATTTTCTATTGGAAAAGTGATAATTCGCGTGGATTTTTGCCGTTTTCTGGCACTTTCGGCCGTCCGAAGATGGCTCGGTTACTATATCGTACTGAAGTTTTAGGTGGGAAAATGAAAATTTCTATTTGGCCTATTAAAAATCTGAAAAAATTCACATAGACTAATTCGATGTCGAAATGAACGAATATGTGGTGGAAATTATGAAATTTTGGAAAATGGAGACGTAGTTGCCTACAGGAGTGCTCTAATTGATAATAAAAGCGAATAGCTGACTTTGAGCGCCGATATCTCGAAAACTATCTGTCCTATGGAGCTGATTATAGTCTCATTCGATTCAGCGTGTCATTTTCTATTGGAAAAGCGATAATTCGCGTGGATTTTTGCCGTTTTCTGGCACTTTCGGCCGTCCGAAGATGGCTCGGTGACTATATCGTACTGAAGTCAGGTGGGAAAATGAAAATTTTTATTTGGCCTATTAAAAATCTGAAGAAATTTACAAAGACTAATTCGATGTCGAAATGAACGAATCTGTGGTGAAAATTGGGAAATTTTGGAAAATGGAGCCGTAGTAGCCTACAGGATTGCTCCTATTGACAATAAAAGCGAATAGCTGACTTTGAGCGCCGATATCTCGAAAACTATCTGTCCTATGGAGCTGATTATAGTCTCATTCGATTCAGCGTGTCATTTTCCATTGGAAAAGTGATAATTCGCGTGGACTTTTGCCGTTTTCTGGCACTTTCGGCCGTCCGAAGATTACTCGGTGACTATATCGTACTGAAATCTTAGGTGGGAAAATGAAAATTTTCATTTCGCCTATTAAAAATCCGAAAAAATTCACATAGACTAATTCGATGTCGAAATGAACGAATCTGTGGTGGAAATCGTGAAATATTGGAAAATGGAGACGTAGTAGCCTACCGTAGTATTCCTATTGGCAATAAAAGCGAATAGCTGACTTTGAGCGCTGATATCTCGAAAACTATATGTCCTATGGAGCTGATTATGTTATCATTCGATTCAGCGTGTCATTTCCTACTGGAAAAGTGATAATTCGCGTGGATTTTCGCCGTCTACTGGCACTTTCGGCCGTCCGAAGATGGCTCGGTGACTTTATCGTATGGAAGTCTTAGGTGGGAAAATGAAAATTTTTATTTGGCCTATTGAAAATCTGAAAAAATTCACACCCTGTATATGTATATTTGGTTGGATTATCTGAGTTTCCAAAGTGCTAGACAATTTGGACACACCCTGTCTGTATACAGACTGATCGTATCACAATCGAGCTGGATATGAATTGGGGGATGATGGAAATTAGGTCACGTGACTTCCCGTCGCCATAGGGCTATTAACACGAACGCTACAGATTGATCGCAAAATTATTATTCCGCAAATATTGATCACGCAATGCGTATCACCCTGTACGAGGGCATTCGGCACAGGAAATTACGTTGTGTCGAGATACGTGAACTAGATTTCCAAATCAATTAATGATTGCTGGACATTCTTTTGTTCGCGGATGTTTATTGTTTATTTTAAGCACCTACCACAGGTTGGCCAGTAATTAAAAAAGTGCTTATCGCATCGACTTCATGGTAGGTCGTCATAACACGAAAAAAAAAATGAATCATCATCGTCCTTTCGTTGGTTCGTCATAGTTCAACAATTCGTGATATGAATTTCTGATGATTATAAAATGAAACATACTTCCCAACTATGGCAAATTTATCTTCTATATACAGGGTCGCTGATATGTATGGAAACAGGTGAATATCTCAGTAACCTGTTGTTGGATTTTTTTGAATTTATGTACTGTGTGATTTCAAAACGTGGCAGATTTGAAAATGTTATAGCCAATGTTGCCACTGTTTCAGTTATACCGGATTTTTCATTAACTTCCTTATTTTGAATAGAACACCCTGTAATTTATTGGATTTTCAGATTCTCCTTGAAGAGCTAATTCCATCGATCTATCACACTTGGGGTCTAGCGGGAATGAATACATAGGTATAGGGTGTTTAAAATCTAGATTTTTCAACTTTAGGATTTTTTTGTGTCGAAACTATTCACTATCGATCAAAACCGCTCCAATGTTCCCATCTCCACTTTTGATTTACTATCTACTGACATTTGATTGAAACAAATACAGGGTGGTTCAATATTCAGAATTCTGATCACCCTCTATATCTGTTCCAATTAAATAGTCAGTAGATAGTAAATCAAAAGTGAAGATAGGAACATTGGAGCGGTTTTGATCGATAATGGATAGTTTCTACATAAAAAAATCCTAAAGTTGAAAAACCTAGATTTTAAACACCCTATACCTATGTAATCATTCCCGCTCGACCCCAAGTGTGATAGATCGATGGAATCAGCTCTTCAAGGAGTATCTGGAAATCCAATAAAGTACAGAGTGTTTCATTCAAAATAAGGAAGCTACTAAAAATCCGGAATAACTGAAAAAGTGGCAACAGAGGCTATAACATTTTCAAATCCGCCACGTTTCGAAATCACACTGAACATAAATTCGAAAAAATCTAACAACAGATTGCCGAGATATTCACCTGTTTCCATACATATCAGCGACCCTGTATAAGGAATGTTAGAACTGCTATACAGTATACAGTAAATCTCAATGGTTGAAAACTGATCGAAATAAACATCGTGGCCCAAATTATAGGCAGAATTCAAAATCGAATAACTCATTGATCCCATAAAGAATTTCTATTCGGTTTTCACATCCTTAGTAAAATGAACTCTCTCATAAATATTTGGGGTTCATGTTCCAAGAAAAAATTTCTTTTGATATTATCAACAAACACCTCAAATCTATCTTCATATTGGTAAGGAATTCTCAAATCCATGAACATTATACTAGGCAATATGACTTATTTCATCTTGATGCTGCTAATTCTACACTTGGCCAAAAAAAGTTTACTCGCGGAGCTATCTCAAAATTCAATAAATTACCTGATGATATCAAAAGTTGCACAAATATCACCCAATTCAAAATTAAAGTCAAGAAACATATCCTCTTGCAGAGAGGAAATCAAACCTGAGTGAATGATTCCTCATTTCATCATTTATTTCATCATATCATAATGTACTTTTCATGAGCTTTTTGTTTTATTATTATTATTTTTGAATCTGTTGTTTATTTCAATAGCTTAAATTTAATAACTCATGAATAATCTCATACCAGATATTAATCTGTCTGATAATTCATGTTATTTCATTATAAATCTTAATAAAACAAATGTAATGTTTATAGCAAAGAATTAAATAAATATTATTATATTATTAAAAAATCTTCCAGTTACTCGTCAGAGAAATATGAGACTGGAGTTTCACAGGACAGGATGATGATTGAAGTAGTGTAAAATTGCAGTCGGTTTTTTGCAGGAGTATTATGAAATTAATCGGTTCTTCTTACCTTACTCTTTCCATATGGCACCAAGATCAAATTCACGAAAGAAGAAAGATTTCCTTGAAGAGATGGGTACAGCTGTTGGGTGAAGAATTTCTTGGAATCTGGGCACAGAGATTCATAGTAGACTGAAACGTTTACCTAAAGAAATCGAAAACTATAGTTGAATACGAGAAATTCAGATTCGGGTACAATTGAATAAATTTTCTGTCTGATTGATCAATTTTTTCACTTCACATATGCTCAACTTCTTCAGAACATTAGGAAGAGTTTCATTTACTCAATTATACGGAAAATGCCTGAATGATTTTATTTTATATTTCCTCACCACCTACCAGTAACACATGTCTTGGCGCTGACGTCATCAATTATTTAATAATTGTGGCAATAAACCAGACTGCACGATTAGGTCAGAGAAATCATTGTTAATTATGGTATTTTGGAACAACTATAACAGCAAATTTTCATAGGATCCAGAAAGTTATAATTGAATAAAAAAATAGTTATCTATACTAATATTATAAAAAATGTATAAAGAATGGAAGATGAAAAGATGAAAAATAATTTATGAAAAGTGATAGTTTCAATACCTTTCGACAGGAATGAAATATCAAACTCTTTTTCCATCATAAAAAATACTTCCAATTTCTGATACTGATTTCCAGTTTATACTTAGATATACGGGGTTTTTCAGAATTGGATTCTGCTCAGCAAATTATGGACAAATGCTTTGTTTTAGAAATACAGGGAAGTGATTATTCCTTCAATAGCTCAAAAACGCTTCAGTCGATTTCATTTGAATTCATTCAGACAGTTATTAGACATCTTCTGGATCATTTAGATTTGATCTGGAATCTCCAGGAACTCAGGTAGCAAGAAAGTACCTATGTTGGTTTGTGAAGAACAAAATATCACTGTAGACAACAACAATTAGGTCGTGAAATTGTCTCTGAGCTCTGTAATGCAATAATAATCAAAAATACCGATTGATATATTTTTCTGGTAAGAAACAACAGACTTGTTCGCTGGGTATACCCCTGTAAATTCTGGATTAAATCTAATTGGTTCAGTAGTATACCCTGTATAGATAGATAGATAGATGATAGATAGATAGATAAGCTTTATTTTGTCGACAAAGTCAATATCTTGCGATTTGATTGCAAGATATAAATAAATAAAATAGAAAAAAAGAGGAATATATAGAAATAACATAGAACAAGTATCTTCATTATTACAAAGAACATGTCTCTTCAAAATCAACAATATGAAATTCTCACATATCATAAAAGGACTAGAATTTGTAGGCTAAGTATTCGTCTAAACTATACAAGCATTTTCCCACTAACATATCTTTGACAGATTTCCGGAAGTGTTTCAAATCATTGATTATAGCTATATAATCTGGTAAATGATTGTGAATAATGTTGCTCTTGCACGAGAAGCCTCGTTTCTTCACAATAATTTATAATTTCAAACACAAGGATACCCGCATTCTTTTCAATCATTCTCCCATTGCGATGATCTCAAAGTGCAACTACTGGAATTGGCAACAGCGCCAGCATTGGCAACCAATTATTATTATTTTTATTATTTATTCAAATGGAAGTTAGGTTCCAGCCTAACGGCTTCGATAATCACTTACAATTATACGAATTGCTGCATAGTTCATGATGACATGATCACAAGGTGATACGCGATCTTTTTTTTTTTCTTGTGGATGTTAGGAAATTCGCAATCGAGCGAAACAAACACCGAGTGATCAATAATTATTATTTTTCACCAAATGACATTTAAAGTGGATTTTTAATGACACTTAACAGGCAGAAAATGTGTACTTTTACTGCCTAGGCAGAAAAAGTTTGTTGCCATGCAACGTTCCAAGTAATTTCAATCAAATTGGTTATCAAAATTGACAATGACTTTGGGTGAACAAAAAATGATGGATTATTTGGACTTTGCGTGAAATTTGAAGAATTGGAGAAAAAATTATATGTTTCACATGGCAGAAAAGGAGATGTAATGCCTTGGCTGATGATTGGCTACGCCTAGGCTATGAAACGCCAGCCGCGGCATTAAATCTTGTACTTTTCAGCCTAGTAAAACAAATAACTTCTACTTGGAAGTTATTTTGCTTCACTTCAGCCCACTCTATGTACCAGAAAATGAGAGAAAAAACAATCATTTCATACATTATTGGCTAGGCTCTAGACTTTTTACTCGGAATGACAATGAATTAGCCACTTTAAGGCATTTTAAATGCAGTTAGATAACATTGAAACTACTTAAACAGTAAAATGTGTACTTATATCTTCAATGTCTGTGGTAGTAGGCATCAAATCTTCTACTCAAGTTTATTCTGAATGGTTATGGCAAAAATGAGGTTGATTATATTTCAAAAGATTTATCACGTTCGAATTTCCATGAAAAATATGGGTAAGTAGATAAAAGAAATGATTATTTCACCACTGGTTAGCTAATTAGCATACGTATCGTATATACCTTTTGGAAATAAAATTTGATAAGCACTACATTCAATACAAAACTAACTGGTGCCATTTTTTTTTCAACTGATACATTTTTGAGGAATTACTGATTCGAAAGATTTCTTCAAAATTAATCCTAGCTAGTGTCAAAATGTTGGACATGAAAAATAAGAGGATATATGAGAAAAAAATTGAACAAAAAACGAGAAAAAAATCAAGTATGCCACTCTAAAACAATTAAAATTATTGGGCCTTCCGCACCGAAATTTGGACAGAGGCCAGAATTATTACAGTGTAGAACTTTGGGTGGAATAAAATTTTATTTTGATCCCCTTATTTTTTTATTGGTGCCATCTGATAATATACAAGTTTTCTCAGGTTTTGAAATATCTGCACTTATTTCAATGCCACTCTATATATTGAATCGGAAAAAAGTGAATTCAACGAAACAACAAAATATATACCCACCTAATACCCATATCATTCCATTAAAAAAAAAGAAATAGAAAAAAAAAACATTTGTACATGGATATGATTTTCAAACCAATGATTGTAAAACAATTTAAGTTTGGAAGATCTGTGTATACCATAAAATAGAAACTTATTTTATTCTATATTCTTTAAAATATACAAAACCGGTTGATGTATATCTACCTTTTTGAGATAAATAATTAATGATAATTAACCTGGATACCTCGAAAATTACCAAAAATTATCACCTTCAAACCATCATCAAACCAAACAGAAACTGTAAACGACACGACAGTGTGATAAAAAAGTTGAATAACTGTTTCAAACCAACAGGTATTGTTTTTTTTAATAGCCATTGTAGTTAAGTTGTTTACCGCCTTTACTGGACAAACATCAAACACAGGGTGTGGCAGAATCGTACCTCCTGCTCTTTGTTGAAATAACAGGCGCTTCTTCCGCCTAATGGAAATCATAATTGAATCACGAGCGAAAATCTGCGCACCTCAAAATCACCATATTGATCCCAACAAACTGGGTTTCTAGGTCCCATATAGTCAATTTTTAGAAATCAAGATGCGCCGCAGCCACCTGTTAGAACTTTCACCAGCTAACAAAAAAAAGTTGAAGAAAAAAATACTCACCCTGTGTTGCTCGTGGTTGTGATTTTCGTGTTGCCCCTGTACAGCCACCACAGCAGCGGCCAGCGACAACAGCAACAGTTGGCATCGTTTGTCCATTGTTATATTTGTTATTTTCGTGGAGTCGCTTGTTTCTTGCGGTAGTAGGCTGTGCTAACGGTCGAGGCACTAAGAACAAGTGAACGGCTGGCCGCTTGGAAGTTGGAAACCGCCTGCTATTCCACTACTCCTAGTGACCTATACCTACCTTTCGCACAGGCGTACCAGTGGGAGGGGTACTAGGGTCAGTATGTTGAGGGATATTCAAAAAAAGGGGAATGGGGAGGTTTTTGGAAATGTGGTAAAACTGCATTTATCATTTGATGTTTTTTTTTCGAAAATTTGTTTTGGTACATACGTATTTTTGCCTGAAAAACACGAATTTGATAATGAAAATGTGAACAAACCACTATTTATCGAGATATTTCAAGAAAAAGTTCGAAATTTCGCCTTCTTTCTCCCCTTGTGTTGGATGCATTTACAGCTACTTATTGTTCTTCTTATTTTATCATTGGACACTTTATAATACTCATGATATACTTCAATGACACATTTTTATATAGAAAATTCAACAGGAATAGTTATTTATTATACAAGGGAAAAAGTAGTGATTTTAGCTCCAGGTTGTGTTGTCTCCCGACGCGTAGCGGAGGGAGACAAAAAACCGTGAGCTAAAATCTAATATTTTTCCCGTGTATAATACACAAATTTTTTCTGTGACAGCTAGAAGAAAAAACCATCGCATGATAAATGCAGTTTTACCGGAAATGTTATGGTCGATTTTGGGACACTTTTTCTGTGAATAAAAGAGCTAAATGAAAAGTTTTGGAATTGGATGGCTTGCCAACATGACATACTGATTTCCTAATAGGCGAGTGGACTATTTTTTTTTTGTTACTTAAATAGAATCATCACTCGAATACCCTTCAATTTCATATTTTTTTAGAATTTTTCGGTCGATTTTAAGGTGCCAAAATCATCGAGTGTATAATCATCTGTCATCAATAATGCCACGGAAGTATTCAAACGGCTAGAAATGTACCGCTAGTAAAAGCTGACGTCACGATTTGGTAACTAGGGACAGACCATAACATAGTTGCCATATGTTGAAGTACGATTGGGAACTTCAGAAATATTAGTTATTCAATGATCCATACATTTTCAATTACGTTTTGGAAATATTCCTAATGTGTTGTGGCTTACTGATTATAATATATTTGTGTAAATGATAATTAAATTAATACACACACTAGAGGACATTTGAATCGGTAAACGCTCAAGTAAACGTGACAACACCGCGCACGACTTGTAGGCGTGGTCCTGTCAGTTCTCAGCGTTCAGTACAATGTTGCGAAGTCTCCAACATCCACATGATATGTTGTTTGTAAACATATTTGTCTAGTATAACATTGATGTTTTATACCCATTCTCAATTTCTTTTTTTCAAGTTGATGGTTAGTGTTAATATTAAGTATTTCGTAACTTTCTTAAAAAATATACTTATTTTTCATTGTATGACCTGTTGAATTAGCTAGTATTCTACAATTATGTTATGATTCTTTTCTGATTTTTATTGTAGAAGAAAACTTATTCAATGAAAGTTTGATTGATTGACTATTTTGGAATTTGAAGTGTTTCTTTTTGAATTTATTTCATATTGAAATACAATTGAGGTTTTTTGAAATTAAAATGACTAATTTGAAATATAATTGACGCATTTTGAAACTGAATTTATAGTTTTGAAATACATTTGATACTTTCTGAAATTAAATTTTAACCAATTTGAAAGACAAATTATGCTTTTTGAAATGCAAATGACAATTTTGACATATAATTGACCATTTTTGAACTAAAATTGGGGAAGGTGTAGTATAGGCTGGTGCCCTATTTTGTATTTTATATATTTGATTGATTACATTGTGGTCTTAATTTAGACAAGTATTCATGAACAAGACAGTTTTTTACGTTGTGAAGGTTTCTCCAATCAATAATAAGAAAATGGAATTTCAACACCCTGTAGCTCCAAAGTAAAGCAGGTATATTGTCATATCAACTTTTCTTCTCAAAATGAGATAAGGAACCATACCCTATATTTTGTGCCATCAAGTAAATTACACTCTGTATATAGATTTTCACAAAGAAACGGCAGAGTAATAAAAAAATAATATTTTTTTACAGAACCTTGGGCAATGTTGATCAAAAGATCATATTTTATTTTAAAAAGAATATTATTTTACTTTTTAAAATTTTTTTTGTTACTCATGTTTCTTTGGATAACTGTTATATTTCAAGTAGAAAAACATTTGATAGAAATAAAAAACTGGTGAACTGCACATAACATAATCTATATATAATAAAAACAACTATAAAAATGCAATCATGTAAATCCATACCTGCACCAACACACACATTAAAATTACACCAAATAAAATCAACTAACACATTATGCTGATCTATTTCTCAAAATATACAAAAAATAATCACTGTCTCTTAATGAAAAGTGTTTTATGCTATATTTAACAACCCATTCATTATACTTATGCACTTGATACTCTCAAAGAGTAAAACAATGGCCAGTCCAAAGGAAAAATATTAAATAACTAGGCTTCACTAGAGGGTAGTTTGTGATGTGATTTCCCCATTTCTACCAAGGAATTTCCTTACATATTCCTTGATTTCCTGTTCATCTAAAAGTTAATTAATCATTTAGATTTTTTTTTGCACAAAACTCCCATGTCCCCCCCACTTGTCTTACCTTTATCTGCTAAAGCATGGGAAATATTTCTGGCAAATGTTTTGAAGACCTCCCTAGACTCAAATCGTTTTTCTGCATATGCAGGTGTCAACAATTTGACTACAAGGCCCCCAATTTCGGCTTTTTTCAGTCTGGGCTTTCTGCTGCCTTCACCATTTTGTGACTTTATCACTGGATTATCAACAGGTCTATGAGCAATAATGCTTTTCTGGATCTCCTCCTCTGGGCTGTGATTCCTCTTTTGCTGGTTGTCTTTTTGCCGTTTTTTATCTTCATCTCTGTCAGTACTGTGAGATCGTTTCCAACTTTTTTCCTCATTCCCCTCAGACAAGTCAATAACTTCCTTGTATTTTTCTTGTTCACTTTCTAAAAGACTTTCCAGGTCTTTAACATTTGCTTCCTCATGTGATCTCTCTTCCTTTTTCTTTTTTTTGTGATCACTTCTATGGTGATGTGTTTTTCTTTTTTCCTCAACAAATTCTTGCTGCTCTTCAGTACTCTTCCTCCTTCTTTTGTCATTCTCTTCTATAATCTTGTGGTTATTTTTCTCAGAATGATTGCTATCATCTGAATTCCAGCTGTAAGGGGGAGTTTTAAGAGAAGGTTTTTCTTCTGCAGAAGCATTTTCATCATCAGACTCTTCATCACCAAAAAGACTTTTCAGATCCTTTCTGTTACCTGCATTTCTCAACATGTTTTCAGTTGGATTGTCTCTCAAATTTATATAATCAGTTTTAGGTTTCTGGAAAAACTCTCTTATTTTTGTCTGACTGTCAGTTGGTTTACTGTTTTGTTGATGCAGCACTTGTCTGGCTGTTTGGAAGATTGGGAAGGAAGCAACTTTGGTGAGCAGCTCCTCTGTATCAACACTCTCAACTGTATCCAGTTTTTTCAACTGCTGTTCCTTCTTGATATTTCGGAACAGATCACTTAGAGTTTCATTTTTAGCTGGCTTCGGGTCGAACGTTAACAGAGATTCGTACACAAATTGATCGGCAGTACATTTTTTAATGTTACAAATCTGAAAGTGGAAAATGTGTGTCAGGAGGATGTGTTCTAAAAATAACCAGATTCACATCTTTTGGTAAACTTATTTCGGCCATTTGCCTATCAATCTTTTTTCTAACCAGTAACAAACTATCAGTTTTTGTATCAATAGCTTGGAAGTTGCTAAAAATTGAATGATTTCACAACATATGTATTGACTATTGACAAATTATCAAATTAAACTTTTGTAAATTAATCTGACTTATTGACTTTCATCTTTCATAACAAATCAATGTCAACTTCAACTCGTCATCTTCTCTAATAATCGACTCACAGAGCACAAAATAACGGAATTTTCCACAAGTCAGTTAAAAATAAGAAGAAGAAGAACAAGAACGCCGGTTGTCGATAAAATGGTGGCACAGATTAACAAACCTTAATGGTGGTTCGGATTTGAAAATTCAAATGTATATTAAAAAATCGGCTAAAGTGGATGTGATCTTTGTGGTTTGCGAACGAGGTAAGTTATTCACTTTAGATAATCGCATACTATAACTAAAAGCGAATTCCATCCGTAAACCTGGTAGTGAGTGGTGAACAATATAAACTTTTCACCAGTATTGCACCCGCACTACATTGGTTCTCGCCAAAATGCGAACTGCTGGTGTATTTCCAATGGAATACGAAATAATAAATCGGATAAGTTGGTTTGTCTCTGATTATAACTTGTCCGCATCCTGAAATTATTTCTAAACTTCAATTAGAATCAAAGTAGATATGTTTCATGGAAATAATTTGAAACACTATTCATATTTATAATGTTTCCGCCATTTTCAAAACTGCGTAGTGCATACTGACTTCTCATGGCCTATTAGATCTCGTGCGAGAATTTTTGCACTGAGCTCCATGTGAACCAGTTTTCCAATGGAATTCAAAACCCGACCCTAGTTTTACCAATGCAATACAAAATATGCTCAGTGTGAGCCAGTTTTCTCGATGGAATTCGCTATAATTTCAGTTCAGTATTTGTGATGAATGATGAAATGAGGATTTTCACATTTCAACTCACCATTTTCGCCATAGCACTCCTGTACATAGTCATATTGGTGTTGACCGTGAAAATTTCATATTCCACATCAACTGCACAATCTTCCACATCTTGTTTGTCCAAAGTGGGTTCTTCTTGACATTCAGTATAGTTTACACTAAGGACATCCACTAATCGCGTCAAATATTGCTCTCTAGTAGGAAGAGTCAGACCTTTGATTTTGGTGGAAGTTGAACTGGCTGCTTTCACCCGGCAATGTTTGGAAAACAATTTCTCAACTGTTTCCTGAGATACTTCCTGAAAAAATTGATATTTGACAATCATTATAATGGACGTGCCTATAACTTGTTGCTTTTATGTTTGTAGATATTCTCTTGCGTTCATACCTGTTGATTTCTCCTAAGAGCAAACTGCTTATGGATGAAATCATTGGCTGCTTTTTTGGCTTCTTTTTCTCTTTCAAAAGCTGAATGCCGCTCTTCATCTGAATCTTCATAGCTTTCTTGCTCCCTGAAATTTTCAGTGGAAATTATTGAAACTGTATATGTACAGGGTGTAATTTTATAGATGGCTGAAAATCAATGATATGATTTCTCAATTCATTTTAAGAAGGTAAGTTCATATGAACATATGCCCTAAACCTCTCAATTTTCGAGCTATATGGTGGCAAAATTTTATCCCGGTACCATGCGTAAGTTCAAGATGGCGGATCTATTATATCGGACGAGTTTTGTAATTATGGTCCGATTCTATTCAAAATTGGTATCTGGGGGTTTTCGGGGTCGGAGATTTTGATTCTTTCGTGAGAATTTGAAAATTCGGGCGGAATTTGGAAATTCAAGATGGCGGACGAGTTTTGTAATTATAATCCGATTCTTTTCATAATTGGTACCTAGGGGTTTTCGTGATCGGGGATTATGATTCCTTCGTTAAAATTGATAAATTCAAGATGGCGGATCCAAAATGGCGGATTTTGTAATTAGGATTCGATTTTATTCAAATTTGGTATCTGGTGGTTCTCGGGGTCGGAGATTATGATTCTTTCGTCAAAATTAGGAAATTCAAGATGGCGGACCCAATATGGCGGACGGGTATTGTAATTATGACCCGACTCTCTTCATAATTGTTATCTGGGTGTTTTCGGGGTTAGAGATTATGATTCTTTTGTCAAAATTTGGAAAGGGCGGGATTTGGAAATCCAAGACGGTGGAACCAATATACCGGACGAGTTTTGTAATTATATAGCGATTCTATTCAAAATTTGTAAGTGAGCGTTTTCGGGATCAAAAATTATGAATCCTCCGTCAAAATTAGGGAATTCAAGATGGTAGATCAAATATTGCGGACGAATTTTGTAATTATGTTCCGATTCTATTCAAAATTTTCATCTGTATCAATCAGAAACAAAATATGTTTTGGCATTGGAAAAAACGCACATTCAAACTTACTGAGAAATCCCTAATCTTCCTCCTCCATACATGTCTGTGAAATCAGTCTCAGAATATGTAGTCGCTTTAGTGTTGAACTGAATGCTCTTTGTCAGGAACTGTTCTACCATTTCTTGGACTTTCTTCTTGTCCACACAAAAGTCACATTTATCGATACATTTGGGAGGGGGTTCTCCGAAATGATTCGAGAATAACCTGTGACGACATTCGCTAAAAAAAATATCAAATATATTATCACTGAACTATACATATACAGTGTGTCTCCCTAATTGATGCACCCATGCATGTATATCTTACGTAATTATTGGTTAGGATTCTGAAATTGGCAAGAGTGGAAGATATACCAAGTGCTATGACCAAGTGGGGCCATCTTCAGCGGTATACACTGCTCGCCATAACAGCCATGGAACCACCCACATTTTTGAACAATGATATTAGGGGACAAGATAGGTTGAAAATCACTTCAGATTCGGCGTCAGGACATCCAGTTCACTATCTATTCATATTTTCCTAAAAAAAATTCAGTTCTGAAAAATTCAATTTTGTTTCATCTTTCATGGAAACACCCCCGTATGTTACGTCGTTGGCTCTATCTTTGGACTCTTTCTGTTTCCTGTAAATTTCAGAATCCTACCTCAATAATTACGTAAGATACGGGGGAGCTTCCATGCAAAGTGCGACAAAATTCAATTTTTGAGAACTGAACATTTTTTTGGAAATATATGAATAGTCAGTGAATTGGACGTCCTGCCTCCGAATCTGAAGTGATTTTCGACTTATTGCTTCCTATTCCTAATATCATTTTCCGAAAATTTGGGTGGTTCCATGGTTATTGGCGAGCAGTGAATATCACTGATCACTGGAAGTTACCAATACAACCCCATTAAAAAAGTGGCCACCCTGTATAATGATGAAATAGAAGTATAACATGACGGAAACAACAAGTAAATTGGAGGGAGAAATTAACGTCATCCTATTTGCGTAAAACGGACTATCGGGAATGAATGTTTACCAAATGTTGACAGTAGAGTAATCATAGGTTCATAAAAACACAAAGCATTGGCTGAGCCAATTTTACCCAACGATGTTTAATACTTGTACGCTTTTTTATTGAATACGACTGTACGTACTTCCCGGACTAGGCCGAAAAAATGCTACTTTCTCACTTCCCGGACGATTGCAAGAAAATTTCTTTTTTTTTTTTAAATGGATACACCAAACGTGCGAAGCTGGGCCAGCCAGCTAATAATCAATAATTCTTACGTTGGATTTTCGCAAAACTCTAGTATTTTCTTGAATCCCTTCACCGTCTGCTCCATACGTTTCTTCTTGTTCTCTTTACTGCCCGCCCTAGCCAAGTCCTGCATCAGATGGAATTCGATCGCTTTGCTGTCAGACCTGTTGTAGTACACCCGACAGCGGGACGGCTTTCCATCTCGGCCCGCTCTGCCCGATTCTTGATAGAAAGAGGCCGGTTCTTTGGGACTGCCCCAATGAACGACGAATCTGAATGAGGAAAAAATTACACAAAAACGAAATTACATTATGTCATTGTTATATGATCGAAGGCATATACATGGTGACCTGGAGACCAAAATAGGCTGAATGAAATCAACTTACCTCAATAGAAAAACGCACCGTTTAGCCGTGAGAGGACAATGAAGTACAATGTTATTTACAGATTTTCTTAAATATTTCGGGCACTTTACTATAGTGGATATGCATAATATATCGAAAAGTTGGTATGATTGTGAAGAAACATACATAGGCCAAACTGGGTGATCTATAAACACAAGGTTCACAGAACATAATATTATACTTTTGGAACGTGGTAGATTCGATGAATCAAGTGTAGCAGAATCATAATACAGTCATCAGAAAACCTCAAATTGATAAAATGTTACAAAAGAAGATGCATATGAAAGTGTAGAAATAGTTGAGAATAGTAGTACAGTTATAAATAAAGATGAAGAACCTATTCAAATTTCATGAAACATATGAATAGTTTAATGATTTAGGGTAAATAGAGATTCAAAATCTAGATAAACGAGGGAGATAAAAATAGTTACGTTGACAAAGAGGTTGGACTTCATGTAGTCAAAATTGAAATCTTTCCATCTTTCACAAAATACTTGAACAACTTTCAAAGGCGCATTGGCTCCTGATTTAGAAAAGACAAAAACACACTTGAATGGTATGACAAATCTTTTGAGGTCTATTATAACAACACAGAGTATAATAAATAATTGTTTAATGTGAAAAATGCAATACTGGTTCAATATCCAGTTCAATTCCGAGGCCCAGCTTTTTGGTAAAAAAAATATTGACAAGGTCTAGAAAAACGCAACTCTCATCGTTGATGAGTTGTGAAGAAGTTTCAAGAGTTTTTCAGGATTTGCGAAAAAAACGGCGGGTTTTAGGTTTTTCTTTATCTCTTGGACCGCACGAAAGGAAATTCCTATAACGTTCGTGGAACATAGTGTGTACCAAGGAGGTATGTGTTGGTTTTTTCTGAACTTTTGGAGGTTATAAGCACTTGGGAATACTTCCATTGACAAAGAATTCCAAAGCTTCGCCGTTCTATAGACGAACGAGTTTTGGTAGGGCGTTGTTCGACATTTTTCAAGGTCAAACGAAAAAGGGATGTGCTGACTGGGCTTGTCGAGTTTGTCTGTCTGGTATTGCTAGTGATGGAAACATAGCAGAGATTTTTGAGGAACATTTCCCGTGGAGGCATCTATAAACAAGTGAAAGGTCGCCGACTTTTCTACGGTGTTCTAATAGGGTCAAAGAGTTAGTGAGTGTGGCATCACCCATAAGGCAAATTGCTTTTCTCTGGATGGAAACTAAGAGCATCAGCGTATGTTTGGGTGCTGTACCCCAGGTGAAATACAATGGCAGGTTATTTTTCTACGGGTCCGCGTCTTAAATCGATTATTTTATTTTTTACTAAGCATGTGACGAACATTTGATTCTGTCTTTCACATACGACATATTATTTGCATGAATACATGTTATTATGTTTCCTTCCATTCATTGTTATTTTATTATCATTACTCTTTACAATTAAAATCACTTTCTACAATTACTACTTTATCAAAATACTCCATCTAGTTTTTAGTTTTTAAATTTTAGTTCTTGTTCACAGTTACACATTGTAAAAAGCTGTCCTGTGAGTGGGTCTTGTACCTGTTTGGGCAATAACTAGTTTTTTTTTTCTCATGATACCTCCCGAGATATTTCCTCACTTTCCTCAACTTATTGTGAGGACAACTTCATGATTATCACGTTCTTACCTGACTGTGGCTTTATCGACACCCATTCCAAAGCTGATAGTCGCGCATATCACCGGTACATCGCCGTTTTGCCACTTCTCCTGGAAAGTGGTCCTTTCCATGGTCTTCAGACCGGCATGGTAGCACAAAGTTCTGACGCCCATCTTGTTCAATCTCTCCATCAGCACTTCCGTTTGCTCTCTGGTCCTGCGATTAGGGTTGGGACACTTGAAATTTTCAGTAGTGATACCACATGAGGTCAAATTATTTCCGGATTTTTTTCCCGGAAAGTAATTTGACCTCGTGTGGTATTCGGTAAGAAAATTTCACACCAGATTGTGTTTGAAAATCAACGAATTTTAGAATTTATTTGTACATTTGATTTAGGTAGTTATTATTAGAAGAACATAATGAAGAAAGTTTCAATGAAAATTTTCATGAATTTCTCAAATATTTTTAATTACCCCTTGAAAATTTCTGAAAACTGCAATTAAATTTATGAAATTCAAGTTTGTTCCCAACCCTACCTGCAATACACGATTCCACAGGATTTCTGGTCTTTGGGCAGGTCTTTTTCACCTTGCTCGTCAAGGCACTCAGATATGAAGTCTTTAAGGTGTTTAAAGGAGTCTTCCAGCATATTTGGGAAGTATACGTCATAGAATAGGTTGGAGCGGAAGCAGGACGTTTTGAATAATTTGTATCCTTTTGCTAATCTCAAGCTTGATATTATATCTTTGGTCACCTGGAAGTATAAATAAATATGGCTGCTTTGAAGAATCTTTGTGTCATGCAGTCACATGCACAATTTTCAATCAACTGATCAAAGATCAGCAGTGAAGGAACATGCTTTGGGCTTATACTAAGTCATCATCAACCAGTTGAATATGGTACAGGGTGCGCCTCTTAAAATGGACCCCCCCCCCTCCCTTAACTCGTTTGTTTTCAGAGATGTGAAAAAATGTTGAAATGAAAAGTTGTTTGAAACGACCCAAACTTTTATTTTGTAAAGTTGCTTCATATACAGGGTCATTCGTTTTTCCCGAAAGGACATTAACTTTGACTTTTTCAATGGAGCACCCTATATATATTATCTGACATGTTGATAGTCTTTTTTCGGATTCCAAAAATATATATGAGTTGCATATTTGGATGAAAAATAATTGAGCTATTGATTATATCAAACTGTCTATTCATATTTTTTGTTTTAAGATTGAAGGATTCCAATACTATGGCATTTCCATGGAGCTTGAACAATATATAAAAGGTTATTTCAAAGCCCACTATATTCAACTTGCATTAGATGATATAAAGTGAAGATTCATAATGTTTAACAGGCGCACCCTGTACATTGTTGTGTACAAAAATCATCAATGACATAGAATATAAAAGTTACCATTACTTACATGAATATGAATGAAAAAGATAAAATTCAATGACTGTAGGCAAAGAATAGGTGAAAACTAGTATTTTGGTATTTTCATGTTTAATTGCTGCCTAGTTATTTGAATGTGGGCCATTATTGAAAAAAAAACATGACCCTTAATTGAAGAATTTCACAATTCTAAAATATATGTCTTTTTACATTATGATGGACAATAAGTTTTATTCCTCTACTATTTGATTCAAAGTTCATCACTTTCTTTTATTCCAAGATAAATAATAGGCAGACTGAAAATTCTATTTAAATCTATTCTACCTATTTAATATCTATTTAATTCTATGTAAGTGTATTAATTTCCCTAGATAAAAAAATAAATCAACAGCCTACTGAATGTTTCACTTTTGATTAAGATGGATGTCCTGTTCATTTTTTCATCATAAAAGATTCAAGTTCCTATAGAGATTTCTTCATCATAATATTTTGTTTGCATTCCTATAGATGGTTTGAAATAATAGTCATAGTCATCACATCAAAAGTTGCAGACAAATGTACAAAATCCAGATATTCTGAGTGGGTATATAATAATTGAACACCCACTATATTTTTCAAATATTTCAATCTATATATATAATTTTTTATATTATTATAAATGTTATTTTGTACTTCTGCATTTGCTGTAGCTGTCAGGGCAATACACGGCACATCCACATTGTCTCTAAGCTCTCCCAATTTTTGATACTGTGGTCTGAAATCATGCCCCCATTCACTGACACAGTGAGCTTCATCTACCACTAGGTATGCTATTTTATTGAAATTGAGTAAGTTTTGGTATAAAGCCTGGAATCACAGAGGGGATTAGCAATTTCAAATTTTGAGCTGTTGAACATACTTTGAAAGTTGGTGTGGCAGCTTGTTCTGGGGTCACATATAGTATCCTAGTATTTGGTGATGTTGATTTGAGATCAGCAATTAGTGCCTCTCTTTCTGTATTGCTTATTTTGGAATTGAGGGAAGCTGCTCTGATCCTCAGAGCAATCAAATGGTCAATTTGATCCTGCAAAAATTGAATGACTGACCATTTCTTATTTATCAAATAATTTTACCTTTATAAGAGCTAGTAGTGGTGAAAATATTATGGTGATTTTTCCTTCATGCAATACTGCTGGTAACTGATAGCACAAGGACTTTCCTGACCCTGTCGGCATCGATACCAAAACATCATGTTTCCCTTTAAAAAATACAATGATTATGTGATTTTTGATTTTTATGAGCTTACTTTGACAAATCTCTGTTACTGCCCGTTTTTGAAGTTCAGACTTGAATTCGTTGAATTTGAAATACCGTTTAAGACCAGCTTGAATAGTTGCCTCATCCATTTTCAGTGTAAAGTAAGAGGCACGAATATATTATTAAAATATTGAAATATTATTCCAAATCACTGCCATATTTTTAATATTTACAATTTGACAGGTATCAGCTGTTCTCATCATTTCCCGGGCTATTACTAAACGTCTTCCCTTTTTAATTTCGTTAATAATGCTACTTTGCCATGATGTTTACTGTTTAGAGATAATGGGTGGATTAAACTGTGGTGTAAAGAGTGTGAAGGCTTCAAAGGCAAATGCCTATGAAGTTACAAGTTGATGTTACAAAAAAAAATTCGGAAGAGAAGAAGAAAGAGTAAAGTTATGTTCGTTGTTTACTTTGAGTTCAATGGTCTTATGATATGATGCGAAATGAAAATGAGACCAATTTTATGCCGTATCCCAAAAATATTTTTGCAAATTCAGAAACACAACAAACTAGACGTGAAAAAATTCCACAGGACCGAATTGGGCGACAAAGTTACCGTTCTTGACGAAACTACTCTTACTGGTAGGCTGCTAGCTTATATAAGACCTAAAAATGTGTCTGAAAATCAAATTGAGTCATCAGTGGATGCAAGGGATATTTTCAAAAACAGCCATAAATTGCGACAATATAGTCTACATCAAATCTTTCACACATTCAACACTCTAGCTTACTTAGGGAACAGGATGGAATATTTGGAATTGCTGAATATGTTGGATAATGAATGTTCTCAGAGAGTCAGAAAACTCAAAACTCAGGAAATCATAGAGCTGCTACATGTTTACATGAAAATTATACCAAATAAAATTGTACAACATAAGTATTATGGTGTGGCAATCAAAGAATTATTGAATAGAATTGATACACTAACAAAAAATGATCTAGTACAACTTATATTTTATATTGGTCTGATGAAGAAGTTTGCCAAGTCAGAAGTATTGAGAAAGTGTGTTGATAAATTCAATAAGAACACTGTCAACTCACTCTCTGCTGAGGAACTATGTATAATTTGTAATGCTACATTCAAAACTGGCACACATCTGGACAATACAATATTTCTAGATAAAGTAATGAGTTACTTGAATGATAATTTATACTTACTCAAAGATCCTGCATTGTTTATTACTCTATTGAAGACTGTTAGACTTAACCGCTACCAAAATGAAGACCTACTGTCTACAATAACTTGTGCAATGTTTTTCAACAAAACTCTTGAATATTACTCCTTCATAGGATTATGTCACATCCTTGCTCTGTACTCAGACTTCCTCTACTATGATGAAAATGTTCTAAATGCATTCACAAGGAGGTGTATCCAGCTTTTGAAGGAAAATGAATTTGTCTCAATAAATAATGCTAGTCCAGACCAACCAAGACTGAAAGATATAAAGAGACTGCTGTGGAGTCTCAGCAACTTGAATTTCAAATGCCTCAAAGCAGCTGATATCAAAACAGTGATAATTCCCAATATTTTGGACAGATTTGAAGCTGGGGAATTGGAAGGAGACTCATCAAGTCTTATTGAGATTATGCTGTACTTGTGGATGTTGAATTACCATGCCTATGAACTTGTGCCTTATGCTTTGACCAAAACAAATATTAAAACAATCAATGGTGAGACACAAACATATATTTTCATTCCCATTTATTAATATTTTTTATTTTTGATAGAGTCCAATTCTCCTGCCAAACACCGTTTGAACCTTCTACTCTCATGTATACACCATGAAGATAAGGCACTTTCAAGAAATTTGAAAATGTATCCTGATCTCACTGTCAGCTATGACAAAACTTTCCAGCTGGAGAAACGACCTCTATTCCAAAGGATTGTGAAAATTGTCCAAAGGCTTTCCATGGGACATGAAATCAACAGGTAAAAGAACAAAAAACCTATAACATTTATTATCTTTGCTCCTAAAATTTTGTAGACTAGCAGACCTCCGAAATGTTGTTTTGCTATATACATTATTTCTATAAAATATTTTTTCAGTTCAATATTCATTTCTACTTCTTTTTAGTTTCCCTATCTATAAAAGCTTGTTTCTTCAGTTTTTCAAACTACCATTTATTTCAACTTCTTTTTAGTTCACTTGAATTTCCGAATTTCGACAAAATAATCTAATATCCGACTCCTCTAAAATAAAAATTTGCAAAAATTCCTTAAAATTGGAAAAATTGCAAAAATTCCTGAAAATTGCAAAAATTCCTGAAAATTGCAAAAATTGCAACAATTCCTGGAAATTGCAAAAATTCCTGAAAATTGGAAAAATTCCTGAAAATTGAAAAAAATTTCAAAAATTCCTGAAAATGCAAAATTCGCAGAAATTCCTGAAATTTGCAAAAATCGCATATGCCTGAATATTGCAAAAATCGCGAAAATGCCGGAAAATTGCGAAAATTGCAAAAATCGCAAAAATTCCTAAAAATTGCAATAATTGCAAAAATTCCTGACAATTGCGAAAATCGCAAAAATTCCTGAAGATTGTGAAAATTGCAAAAATCGCAAAAATTCCTGAAAATTCCTGAGAATTGCAAAAATCGCAAAAATTCCTGAAAAGTTGCAAAAATCGCAAAAAATGTCTGAAAATTGCAAGAATTGCAAAAATTCCTGAAAATTGCAGAAACAGCAATAATTGCAAAAATTCCTGGAAATTGCAAAAATTCCTGAAAATGGCAAAAATTCCTGAAAATTGCAATAATTGCAATTTTCAGGCATTTTTGCGGTTTTTGCAATTTCCAGGAATTTTTACAATTTTCACGAATTTTTGCAATTTCTACAATTTTCAGGAATTTTTGCAATTTTTGCAATTTTCAGGCATTTCGCGATTTTTGCAATTTTCAGGAATTTTTAAAATATTTGGGAATTTTTGCAATTTTTGCAATTTTCAGGAATTTTTGATATTTTCAGAAATTTTTGCAATTTTCAGGAATTTCTGCAATTTTTGCTATTTTTGCTAGTTTTGCAAATTTCAGACATTTTTGCGATATTTGCAATTTTCAGTTATTTTTGCAATTTTTGCAATTTTCAGGCATTTTTGCGATTTTTGCAATTTTCAGGAATTTTTGCAATTTTTGCAATTTTTGCAATTTTCAGGCATTTTTGCGATTTTTGCAATTTTCAGGAATTTTTGCGATTTTTGCAATTTTCAGGAATTTTTGCGATTTTTGCAATTTTCATGAATTTTTGAAATTTTAGCAATTTTCAGGTATTGTTGCGATTTTTGCAATTTTCAGGAATTTTTGCGATTTTTGCAATTTTCAGGAATTTTTGCAATTTTCAGGAATTTTTGCAATTTCTGCAATTTTTAGAAATTTTTGCAATTTTTGCAATTTTCAGGTATTTGCAATTTTTGCAATTTTCAGGTATTTTTGCAATTTTCGCAATTTTCAGGCATTTTTGCGATTTTTGCAATTTTCAGGAATTTTTGCAATTTTCAGGAATTTTTGCAATTTTTGCTATTTCTGCCTTTTTCAGGAAATTTTGCAATTTTTGCAATTTTCAGGCATTTTTGCAATTTTTGCAATTTTCAGGAATTTTTGCAATTTTCAGGTATTTTTGCAATTTTTGCATTTTTCAGGAATTTTTGCAATTTTTGCAATTTTCAGGTATTTTTGCAATTTTTGCAATTTTCAGGCATATTTGCGATTTTTGCAATTTTCAGGAATTTTTGCTTTTTTCAGGAATTTTTGCAATTTTTGCAATTTTCAGGCATTTTTGCAATTTTTGCATTTTTCAGGAATTTTTGCAATTTTTGCAATTTTCAGGTATTTTTGCAATTTTTGCAATTTTCAGGCATATTTGCGATTTTTGCAATTTTCAGGAATTTTTGCTTTTTTCAGGAATTTTTGCAATTTTTGCAATTTTCAGGCATTTTTGCGATTTTTGCATTTTTCAGGAATTTTTGCAATTTTTGCAATTTTCAGGTATTTTTGCAATTTTTGCAATTTTCAGGCATATTTGCGATTTTTGCAATTTTCAGGAATTTTTGCTTTTTTCAGGAATTTTTGCAATTTTTGCAATTTTTGCAATTTCCAGGCATTTTTGCGATTTTTGCAATTTTCAGGAATTTTTGCGATTTTTGCAATTTTCAGGAATTTTTGCAATTTTTGCAAATTTCAGGAATTTTTGCAATTTTTGCAATTTTCAGTAATTTTTGCAATTTTCAGGGATTTTTGCAATTTTTGCATTTTTCAGGAATTTTTGCAATTTTTGCAATTTCCAGGTATTTTTGCAATTTTTGCAATTTTCAGGCATATTTGCGATTTTTGCAATTTTCAGGAATTTTTGCTTTTTTCAGGAATTTTTGCAATTTTTGCAATTTTCAGGCATTTTTGCGATTTTTGCAATTTTCAGGAATTTTCGCGATTTTTGCAATTTTCAGGAATTTTTGCGATTTTTGCAATTTTTGCTATATCTGCCTTTTTCAGGAAATTTTGCAATTTTTGCAATTTTCAGTAATTTTTGCAATTTTCAGGGATTTTTGCAATTTTTCAGGAATTTTTGCAATTTTTGCAATTTCCAGGTATTTTTGCAATTTTTGCAATTTTCAGGCATATTTGCGATTTTTGCAATTTTCAGGAACTTTTGCTTTTTTCAGGAATTTTTGCAATTTTTGCAATTTTCAGGCATTTTTGCGATTTTTGCAATTTTCAGGAATTTTCGCGATTTTTGCAATTTTCAGGAATTTTTGCAATTTTTGCAATTTTCAGGAATTTTTGCTTTTTTCAGGAATTTTTGCAATTTTCAGGCATTTTTGCGATTTTTGCAATTTTCAGGAATTTTTGCGATTTTTGCAATTTTCAGGAATTTTTGCGATTTTTGCAATTTTCAGGAATTTTTGCAATTTTCAGGAATTTTTGCAATTTTCAGGAATTTTTGCAATTTTTGCTATTTCTGCCTTTTTCAGGAAATTTTGCAATTTTTGCAATTTTCAGGAATTTTTGCAATTTTTGCAAATATCAGGAATTTTTGCAATTTTTGCAATTTTCAGGAATTTTTGCAATTTTTGCAATTTTCAGGAATTTTTGCAATTTTTGCATTTTTCAGGAATTTTTGCAATTTTCAGGTATTTTTGCAATTTTTGCAATTTTCAGGCATATTTGCGATTTTGCAATTTTCAGGAATTTATTTTTTCAGGAATTTTTGCTATTTTTGCAATTTTTGCAATTTTCAGGCATTTTTGCGATTTTTGCAATTTTCAGGAATTTTTGCGATTTTTGCAATTTTCAGGAATTTTTGCAATTTTTGCAATTTTCAGGTATTTTTGCAATTTTTGCAATTTTCAGGCATTTTTGCGATTTTTACAATTTTCAGGAATTTTTGCGATTTTTGTAATTTTCAGGAATTTTTGCAATTTTCAGGAATTTTTGCAATTCCTGCAATTTTCAGAAATTTTTGCAATTTTTGCAATTTTCAGGTATTTTTGCAATTTTTGCAATTTTCAGGTATTTTTGCGATTTTTGCAATTTTCAGGAATTTTTGCGATTTTTGCAATTTTCAGGAAATTTCGCAATTTTCAGAAATTTTTGCAATTTTCAGGAATTTTTGCAATTTTTGCAATTTTCAGGAATTTTTGCAATTTTTGCTATTTCTGCCTTTTTCAGGAAATTTTGCAATTTTTGCAATTTCAGGAATTTTTGCAATTTTTGCAAATTTCAGGAATTTTTGCAATTTTTGCAATTTTCAGGAATTTTTGCAATTTTCAGGAATTTTTGCAATTTTTGCATTTTTCAGGAATTTTTGCAATTTTCAGGTATTTTTGCAATTTTCAGGAATTTTTGCTTTTTTCAGGAATTTTTGCAATTTTCGCAATTTTCAGGCATTTTTGCGATTTTTTTAATTTTCAGGAATTTTTGCAATTTTCAGGTATTTTTGCAATTTTTGCAATTTTCAGGTATTTTTGCAATTTTCAGGCATTTTTGCGATTTTTGCAATTTTCAGGAATTTTTGCAATTTTCAGGAATTTTTGCAATTTCCAGGAATTTTTGCGATTTTTGTAATTTTCAGGAATTTTTGCAATTTTCAGGAATTTTTGCAATTTCTGCAATTTTCAGAAATTTTTGCAATTTTTGCAATTTTCAGGTATTTTTGCAATTTTTGCAATTTTCAGGTATTTTTGCAATTTTTGCAATTTTCAGGCATTTTTGCGATTTTTGCAATTTTCAGGAATTTTTGCGATTTTTGCAATTTTCAGGAAATTTCGCAATTTTTGCAATTTCTGCAATTTTCAGAAATTTTTGCAATTTTCAGGAATTTTTGCAATTTTTGCAATTTTCGCAATTTTCAGGAATTTTTGCAATTTTCGCAATTTTCAGAAATTTTTGCAATTTTTGCAATTTTCAGGAATTTTTGCAATTTTTGCATTTTTCAGGAATTTTTGCAATTTTCACAATTTTCAGGAATATTTGCGATTTTTGCGATTTCCAGGCATTTTTGCGATTTTTGCAATTTCAGCAATTTTTGCAAATTTCAGGAATTTTTACAATTTTTGCAATTTTCAGGAGTTTTTGCAATTTTTACAATTTTCAGGAAATTTTGCGATTTTTGCAATTTTCAGGAATTTTTGCAATTTCTGCAATTTTTGCAATTTTCAGGAATTTTTGCAATTATTGCAATTTCTGCAATTTTCAGGAATTTTTGCAATTTTCACAATTTTCAGGAATATTTGCGATTTTTGCAATTTTCAGGCATTTTTGCGATTTTCTACAATTTTTGCAATTTTTGCAATTTTCAGGAATTTTTAAAATATTTGGGA